TTCGACACGATTCAACATTGTTCAGATGAAAGACCTACCGCAGCACTTCAAAACGGCAGCAAGCGGAACGTCAAGGGCCGGCAGACATGTGGCAAAAGGGAGCTGGGCAACGTCGACGTTAGCAGGCTACAATTTGGGTGTGACAAAGTTCATGGAGTTTAAGAATCGAACTGCCGGCGGTTTTGACCCTACTAGAAAGATCTCAGACGATGACTTGTATGACTTTATTGCATGGGCAAGTGAAACGGACGAAGACATACCAGACGGCCCCTCGAAAGCACTGAGCTCGGTGACAATAAAGAAATACCTAGACGGTATTTGTGCATGGCATATTGTACAACACAGAGCAAAGCCAACGGCAGATCAGGATATTGTAAAAACTCTTATCGCGGCAACGAAAAGAAAGGAAGAAGAGAAAGACTTAGTGACGGTGAAGAAACTGATAATGGTCAAGCAACTATTTGAACTGTTACAAAATACGTACAAGGGGTCAGATACCCAACAACTCATTGGTGTGGTAGCTCTCGTCGCCTTTTGGGGTGTGGCACGTCTGGGTGAGCTGCTGAGACCGACAGTAGAGAGTGGAGCTTTACTAAGGAAACACATCGAATTCGGGTCGAAACGAGGAGCGGTCTACGCGAAACTGTACTTGCGAAAGGCCAAGACGGCAAAACTGGGGGAAGTTCAAGTAATTCACCTTCAGCAGCAGTTCCATGTTTTGGACCCAGTAGCGGTGTTGAAACAATGGCTAGAGAAAGACCCAACCTTAGATCCGGACAGTATCCTGTTCGCCACAAAAGAAAAAGACACAGTTTGACCCTTAACAAAAACTAGATTCATGAACGGGGCAGCGAAAGTGTGGGGAAAGGACAGTGTCAGTACGTGGAGCGGACACTCATTCCGGGTAGGGGGAGCGTCGTTGAAGTTCAACCTAAACACATCAATGGAACGGATAGCAAAGCAAGGCAGATGGACCTCGCTAGCTTACCTCAGGTACCTAAAAGAGTACACACCGGAAGAATTGGAGGAGTCAGAGAAACTGCTGGAGGCCATACACAATGTGAACTGGAACGCCAAGATGACAGGCGACTTAGGTAGCTGAATCGGCCAGAATAAGAGGGAAAGATGAAATGAGAAACTTAATTGATGATTGGTGGTCTGTTTTTGATAATAGACAAAGACCAAGCCGTGAGTATATGAGACAATCGTTGTACCATTCAAGGGGGAAGATCCACTTCCCCCCCTCCCCCCTGAACTGAACAGCAAGTAAGTGAGTGACGTACCTGCATGTGATTGTCGCACGAATCTTAATTAGAGTTCAGAAGATGAAGGAAGAAAAAAGGTCTTCAGAAGACTCAGGCGCGCGGTGACCGTGTGGGGCGTGTGCCTGAGGCTCAGGACGCTCATCCAGGCACCTGAGAGGAGGCACATGGCACACGCATATACACAACAACACAGGCGCGCGTCTAGGGCGGGGGGTGGGCCCAGGGATGGAGGATCCCAGCCGGGGCCACATGGTTTACGAAAACCAACTTGGTTTCAGAAAACCAAGCCCCGGGATGTTTTAAGATAATAATTAGGGAAATTATTAAATATAATTGACGGATGTTGCTTGTTTAAAGTAAAGAGCCCCAGTGGAGGGACCGTTGTAGTATTTAAAGCTCAACAAGAGCTTTACAACACCTAAGAAGGGATAATCTACTACGTGTAATATAGTAGAAGTTGCCTAAAGACTGCCTTCTTCAAAGAAACCAGCACAAGGGCACTTGCTGACCACTTTGTGATAACAGAGAAAAGGATAAAAGGCACCAGAGAAATAAAGCAATACTGTTGTTAAGTATTATTCCCAGATTTTAAGCGCAAAAAAGTCACACACTATGTTTATTACTAGCAATACTGTTGTAAGTATTATTCCCAATTAGACTTGTAGTCTTTAACACACGTAAATAAATTTCTCCTTCCTTTTGAAGGGGCGGATTTAAGTGATCTTAGTACAAATATAGTAAATAAATGATGATTTATGACACTACAACAAAGGTATAAGATGCAGAAAAGGGCGCTACAATCCCAAAATCATCAAGGAGTACTTATATCCACATGTAACAATCTTTACAACAGTCAACAGCCTCAAAAACCAATCAAATCCGCCTAAATAACCCTAAAAACCATGTAATGACGCAATGTAATGATCTTGTTACTAATGTATGATGTAATTTTCACAGCCAAAAGTGATCAATGACGCAATGATGTAATGTACAGCACTTCTTAAGATGAATACAGGTGATTTTTTCCTTGTAAACTAGCTGAAACCCAATTTTTGAGATTACGAATTTTTTCAGATGTGCTCCAATTTTTGATTACTAAAGTGCATCTTGTAGCCCACGTGTTACTGATCATTTCTGACACCTATAAGACCTACTTCTGATGAGTGATGAGTAAGATATTGAGTTGTGAAGTTAAGGTTTTTGGTGTTACATGTGTCTTGTGACTGTAAATTCGAGATTCACACCAATTTCTTATTTCCCTTATAACTTTTTACATACACCTCCGTTACTAATGATTCAAAGGTTGTACATTATGTAATCCACTCTTCTGCGTTGCATGAGCCATCTACCAACTTATTCTGACGTCATTTGACATATGTAATTAGCTGAAAACCTCCATTTTCGACGATTTTCACCTATTTTCTTCACTTTTCACAGCTGCTACTCCCTTTTCCTTGCTCATGTAATATGACATCATCTTCTATAACCTTACAAATCCCGGAAAATCCTCTTGGCAACCTTAAATTCCATCACTACCACCATTACATATGTAAACTACACGCCTAACCCTTGTTTACCAACTTCGAAAAAGTACCTTTCTGCTAATAACCTCTGTTTCCCCTTATCAACCTTGAATATTAAAATTGTTCCTGTATAGTAAACTGTTGTTCTTTCATATTCTAACCTTATAAAACCCATAACTTAATTATAAATAAGCTAAAAACCATTTTCCAACTTTTACACCTATATTTTCGAATTTTTCTTATCTTTTCTTTTTCTGTCTTTTTGTAATAACTTTGTAAGTAAACTATGTTGATCTTAATAATAATTTTGAAATAAGATGACATAATAATGAGCTAATAAGTATACATAAGCCTCTAAGAGCTTCAATTGATCTGAAAACCTGAATCTCGAATTCTCTGCTATATTGAAGTTTGCTAATAAACTGGTAAAGTAAAGATGATTAATTTTTTTGCTTAATATCATAAATAGATCACCACACCGTGGCTTCACGTACTTGGCAACGCCAAGACTCGTCACCCAATCCATACTACAACTCATACGAGCAAGTGTAGAATGGATGACTAGAACCACCATATCACAGGTGGTTCGCCAGTCCATGACAGGCTTGCGGGATGTGTGACAGGTAGGCAGGTGAAAAGCGCACCGACAGAGTTCTCGATAAACTCTGCCACTCACAAGGTGCAAATCTTTCCCACGCCCATACCGATCACACCTGTCAACGACAGACCCTCGCAAGGCCTCATCTATCTCACACCACCAACAAGGTGGTAGATCACGCAAAACCGCCCCACCCACCCACCAACCCTATGGAGGATCCCAGCCGGGGCCACATGGTTTACGAAAACCAACTTGGTTTCAGAAAACCAAGCCCCGGGCCGGGGCCCCGCACTACCCCAACCCGCGCCTTCCTGACATACATGTAAGGTAGGCGCACCTGGGCAGGACCATCATGCACCAGGTAGCCACGGGACCGTGGCTTCACGTACTTGGCAACGCCAAGACTCGTCACCCAATCCATACTACAACTCATACGAGCAAGTGTAGAATGGATTAATGAGGTTATATTAAATTTGTTCTATTACATCTACAAGTGGCGGGAAGGGTTCATTACAAAAAGAAAGAGTGAGCTCATCAAGTCGATGAGCTCGGTGACCTTGTTTACCGAACGACAAATGATCATTTCGTTGTTAAATGATCACCATCTTCATTTTGATTTGGTTACCTAAACTCATCAGAGTCCCACGCTCGAGTCCTCGCGAGACGTCGAGCGAGGGACTCAGGACAAGTTTGCTTGTTTTGGCCTGTGAGGGTCAAGCGTTTTTGGTGGAGAGATTTGCTGTCCTTATAAAACTTTTTCACCTATTTGTGAAATTTTTTACACCAAAGAAACTTTTTGTTCGCCTTGGTGAGACGCACATTTATATCGAAAAAAAAACCGAGGAAGTAGATCCCCTCCCTTCTTTTTTGCCTCCAGAAGCTGGTGGTTTGTGCCTTTACTATTCCTGTATTTGTATGTAGCACGCAATTGTAATTGCTGCGAGTATACACATCCACCTTGTGCTTTTTGGCTTGGTTTTTCCCAACTATCTTGCTGAAAACTACAGTTCAACAAGTGATGCTTACGATTTCATCTCTTTCATGACAGACGTATTACCAATTCTGAGCGCTTCAAATGACCCGATATGTTCATAGATATTCATAAGTATTTGACATATAGACCACATTAGAACCATCTGAAGCCAGGGGTTGAGTAGAAAATACAAAGAAATACATAAAAAATTCAAAAGCAGAAAAAATTGATGGATACATTCTCATCTCTTTTGCAACGTATTACCAATTCTGAGCGCATCAAATGGTCAAATGTCCCAATAGATATTCATAACTATAGTCATACACAATAGAGCATTACAAGCATCTCATATTTTATGACACGTGGATGGATACCAATTGCAAATAATTAAAAAGGAAGAAAAACCCTGCACAAAATCCCCTAGTAAACATTGGAAATGTGATCCCAAAAAGGTTATATGAAATTGCAGAACATTTCTATCTTCAATACTCCACATATAACAATACGGCCCTCATTAATTCTCGGTAAATCTTTGAGCAAAAAAAACAAAATCAAACTTTTATCTTTTTTGATCCGCTGTTATAAACTTCTATAAACAATTTCTTCCTCCTCATCTCTCAACAAACTACAAACCAGCAGAAATGCCAGCCCGCCGCCAAGTTGAGGGATTTAAACCTACTGCCCGTATGATATCAGAGACTGTTTCTTTCTTGAAACACCTCAAAGAGATAGATTTGCCTCTTAAAGATGTATTACTTACTTTGATCCTGGGTGTTGATGACAACGATGAACTCGCCACACTGCGACGATACTGGAGCTCCAACCAAGGTTGGCCTTCAACGTTGAACATCCTGATGGCCTTCAAGAAGGCGGTCGTTAGTAAGTCACTGACTGGTCAACAGCACTGGGATCGATGGATCTTATCTGAGGTATAGATACTTCCTTGTATAACTAAGCTTTGACGTATGCTGATTTGGCCACCCATGATGGAAAACCTTGTCATTTTATTTCACAGGCTACGAAAATAGTTGCCGCAGAGAGCAGGCCACGCTCAGTCTTTGGACCTCCAACCCCAGCACATAGGATCACTCATTCGTTCTTTGGTATTGCTCGCACCGCTGAACGCTATGCTGCTCTCAAGAGAGGAACCGGTTTCCTATGGCATCTGATCCGGGGTAGTATTGGCTGTTATCGTCAAGTGGAGGGGATAGATGAGACAGCCTATCTGATTGACCCTCCAACTGTGTCGGAGTCTGAAGCCGCGCCTAGCAATCCGGCTCAGTCGTCAAACTTTGCAGCTGCCCACGGCGATGAACTCTCTGAGGTTACAGTCATGGATACTGACAAAGTGCAAAAAGACACTAGTGATTCTTCTAGCTCCTCCGAAGAACCACTTGTTCCGTTGATTGAACCGGATGTTCAACATGGAAATGATGAAGATGAAATGAAAGAGATTGAGGAAGAATCGGATTGGGGAGATGAAGAAGCTGGAGTTATTTATGTTGATTCAGTGGATCGCAAACAATTGTGGACCACACGGGCAACCAATGTGAGATTTTCTTTGGTTTTATTTTTGTCTCCAAAGCTGTTTTGAGGAAAACCCCTACCTTTGAACCACAATTTTTCGGAACCAGGTTGCAAACACAGTGTGTTCAATGGTTTCCTATGTCTTCAATCGAGGCGTGAATGGCTTGGCCCTTGAAAACTCTCTGGCTTTCATGGCCTCAGGGGCAAGCAGCAGGTTACACCACTATTTACATCATATCGGTCTAACTGCGTCACGCCGGACTGCCATTAGGATGGCAGCGCGGCTCACGCATGTATCTCTAAGTATTATGCGTGACCGATTAGCCCGCAAATATGTGATTCGTCCGTTCCTCACGATTGATAATTTTGATATCATGGAACGTGTGCATTATTGTCGGCTAGACGCAGCTTCACGCATGTTCCATGGAACATGGGGTTATTTTCACTTTCACTCTAAAGACCTGATTGCGGAAGTCAAACCTGAAGAGTTAACTTTTGACTCTTTTGTTACCTCAATGCAGGAAGCTGAAAATGCCCCTGTCGAAGCGAAAAGCTTTCTACCTGATGACTCACAATTGTTACATTGGGATTCCGTCCTCAGGAGTCAACTTAATCAGGCCTACCTTGACTACATACTCACCAAGAACAACACTCACACCCCAAAGTCCATACCTAAGCTCTCAAAAAATCCACACTCAATAGAACGCATCAAGCCGACCGAGCCCGATGTGGTAATGCTTCAGTTGATTGACGCACCAGACTCTTCAGCAGGTGGGGTTGGCCAAGTTCTCGAACAAGTAGCAAGACAAACGGGGCGCTTGGTCAAAGATAACGTAGATGATCTTCAAATAATTGAAGGTGATGTAGGTACATGTCTGAATCTAGAAAGTTTGAGATGTAAGCGAGCCCCCTCAGCCAAGCGTTATGACGGACTTCATAATTTCCTATCAATTCCCGGAGCAGCTCATACTATGTGGAACAACGCTCAAGCGCTTATTGGAGAGGGGTGGGGCAACCCGGACGAGACAGACGATACTGGATTCGGTGCTATGTGGCAAACTTTGGGTGGTCAACCTGAAAAACCCGTCATCAAGAAGGACTTTGGTGTGATTATGAGAATGATATTTCATATTCACAGTGCACTTTTGGTCCATTGCTTGAGGTCAGATCTGATATGTATGATGTGCTCAGCTATGTTATAATTACTGCCTGACAGTGATGCTTTGAGAATTTGCAGCCAGGTCAAGGATCAGATGAACGAGCCTGTCGATCTTGAAGATACTAAAACGGCGCAACAAATTATTGATACTGCTCATGATCAGTTCATGACGCTGAGCAGCCTGCGAGCTGCTAAAAGCCGAGGTGATATTCGAGGCTACAACATGTGATTACAAATCCGCGACTTGGCTACCATGGTGGAGGCTAATCAAGCAACCAAACAAGGTGATATTGGCCGTTTGATGCTGATGTGGAAAAGGTGGTCTATCATGGCGCACGGCATGTCTGGTCTTTTGCATTATCGAATGCATCTTCCTCGCCTTATCCTCCTCCTCGAAGATTACCTACCAAGGGGTCTAGCACATATCATCAAACAGCGTGGCCATGCAGATCATTTTGTAGCTAAAGATTTGTATCTCGAGCACCAGAACTGGTGGCTGAAATACTTTTTTAATCGATCAGTGAGTTCCATATGACGTTGCTTATAGTTTGTTAAGTCTCTTATTGGTTTATAATTTTCACACATAGGGTTCTGGGACTAGAATCAAGATCCTATCGGACCGATTCTCTGCAAATATCAACCTAGTGAGTTTTTAGGTTCTTTTTGGAGGTGGCGCGTCATGCGACTTAGATGTGTGATTTTCTTTTAAAGCTACGCCAATTGATTAGAAACCTCCGATTGAGATCGGGTATGGTGGAAATGTTTAGGCATAAGAAGCATCTGATCAATTCCCGATCTCTTGCTAAATTCCTAACTTGGAGTAACAAAAATTTGACCAAAACAAATGTAGCACAGCAGCCAGAAGAGAAAAAGGATTTGATGGATCTGGGTTACATCAATTTTCAGAAATTGCTTCAGAAAGAAGTCATACACAAGGAAAGTACCCGATTTCGATGGGGAACCCCCCAAGCGTCATTCCCAAACATAGACGACTTGGATTTGCTTTCGGAAGCTTCCGGCGAAGCCGATGCTGCGGATGCTCTAAGCAAAGCCAATGCTGAAGGCTCGTTGGATAATTCAGCATCAGAGGAGGACACGCATATGTGTGAGTTCAAACCATCTTTGTCAGATAAATCAATTCTGAAACTACATACCTTTTGTAGGTGGGATGCATGAGCATTAGTTATGAGGGTCATATCTAATGCTGATTGGGTGGAACTTGTGAATGGTAGTGATGATGATAGGTTTTGTAGTAAACATTTTGATGTTTGGAAGTTTGAGTGGAGTAGTTGAAGTCTTCATGATCAGCGTAGTTTTGAAGATGTTGTTGGTTAGAAGGATGGTTTTGAGTTTGCATAGGAGTGTGGTCGGTGGTCTCATAGTTTGGATAATCGCGGTAGTTTTGATTGTCACTTCTAAGATGAGCGTAGTTTTCATAGTCACAATGTTCTGTGTAGTATTGACTATAGGATCTATTTTCCTCGTTAGTGTAGTTTTGACGATCAGGTGGTAACATTCGATTGAGATCTCCATTATTTACTCTGACCTCACCTAAGTAGTTTTGATTATCACATTGTGGTATTCGATTGTGATTATAGTAGTTCTCATTAATTTCTCCGTTCTTTTGATATTTTTCCTCTTGATTCTGATCACCGTAATTTACTCTGCCCTCACCTAAGTAGTTTGAAAAATCACGTTGTGGCATTTGAATGTGATCGTAGTAGTTCTCCTTATTTTCTATGTTCTTTTGATAGTTTTCCTCGTTTCCGTAGCTTTGAAGATGAGTTTGTGGCAGTGGTATTGGATAGTCTTTTGAGTAGATCAGATCGTGATTCAAGGGGACGATGTTTTCACTGTAGGTGTTTGCATCGTGATTGTTGTAGTTCTGATTGCGATGAGAGTAGTTGGTGTTGTTATCGTAGGTGTGGGCATTGTTATAGTAGTAGTAAACATTGTCATGGTGGTAGTTTGGATTATGTTCATACGTAGGTGTATACATACTTTCATGACTATCTTCTAATCGTGGTCGAAGGGCTGGCTCTTCTGCGGAAGCGCCCAAACCAATTGATCTTTTGGGAGGTCGATTTGAAACTGGAGGTGTTTTTATGATAGGATCCAAGCAAAGTTCAGACTCTACAACCTCATGACCATTAGTTGGAATCGGATAATGGTGAAGCGCCTGACCAGGTGGATGGGTTTGAGGGTCTTGAGATACAAGAAGCTCTGGAGGTGGATTGCTGATAGTCTCCAAAAAATTTTCGTCTTGTCGAATATCTGACTCTACAACCTCAGGGTCCTGAGTCGGATTTGGATCCTGTATCATATGAGTTATTTGGGATACCAGTTGAGCTAGCTCCTTTTCTTTATTCCGAGTTTCTTTCTTGGCTTTCCGGACCTCCTTTGCCCAAGCAGCATCGTATCGCAGTTTTAATATTCCCAAAATGTCCTTTTGATTTTCTTTGTAGACAGATGAGCACTTCCACTGCTCAATCGTATTCAGAACACAATCGAACTGCCCATCACAAGCTTCACTTGCCAGTACTTTGCGTAATGAAGAATGGTTGACGAGTATGTCAGAATTCTTTGCCGCGACCCAGGCTTGTTGCTCTGATAGCATGGAGTCACTTGAAATGAAGTGATCGTCTCTGGGGAATAATGAGCTGTACAATGATTTGAAGTTTTTAAGCAGAAGCGCCTGTAGTTCGATAAAAGCTGGCGATGAGCGACATTTATCTTTTGCAGGACAAGTTAGAATGGTTGATTCGACAGAAGAAGGCTGTCTCGGTTGTACGGTCACAGTTTCTGGGCAGATTGGTACCGGAACTGAGCCGTTAACTACATCAACAAATGTAGCACGTGTGGCATGCTGTTGCGATTCGATCAGGCCAAAGAGCAGGTCAGGCCGACAATTTGAGCAGAGACAGGGGGCGATCTTAATTTGCCGATTATATTCCTTGATATACTCCTCATCGTCGAAGTGCAATGGAACATAGCCCAATCTAACGTTTGAAACTTTCCATCAATAACACTAGATAGCATAATGAAGTTTGAGAAAGGGTATACTTACTCATTGTCTATAGCAAAAGCCACACGAAGACACACAGGTGTAATTGCTAACCCATCCATTCGGTCATCATCCGACATTTTTTTGACGTTCTTAAAATCTTTTACCTGATTTTTACCACCCCTGCGACTTGGCTCAACTAGCATGACCCCCAAACCAGCGCGGTTATCTCGTCCACAGCGGCCAAGCATTTGACCGATAGTGGCTGGGTCAGCCCGTCCCATCACAATTACACGCTGTACTATATCCCAGTTTTGCCCCAATCCTAGAGCCATGGTACAACATATAATTGCAAACAATCCGGCCACAAAGTCCTCTCCACGCTCCAATTTGTCTTCCGCTCCAGTATCCGCATGATAGCGACGTGCACATGAGCTATTACCATGATGTGTATCGCGAGGACGTCTTCGAGCCACATTAACCGCTTTCATAGTGTTATAGGTATGGTTCTGAGTTCCGGAGTATATCAGAGTTCGGGGAAGATCACAATCAGGTACACGGTCCGCCGGGGGGAAAAAGCGATTTAGGTCCTTTGCAGACTTGAGTGAATGACTCATTGTCAGTCTGATAAAACGGATCTTGTAACGGACCAAGTCGGCTCGAATTTCATTGACATCACGATCTCGGCGCCAACGTAGATTTTTTAGTATTGCATCAAATGCCTTGGGTCGACATGTAGCCGACATGAGGAGTACAGGTGCGTGTTCAGTAGCGGTCAAACGACTAAAGAGGTTTCCATATGAGGGGCGAAAAATACCAATATCCTGCACTTTTCCCCAGCTTGCTGTTTTACGGGCTAAACCACTCGCGACAAGCCCCCACGTATAGATCAAATGTGCTTCGTCTACCACTTTCAAGACAACACGCTTCTGAAAACACTCATTAAAGTACACTTTCAAAAAGAGAGGACTATTGAGAAATATTTCGGGACTCTGGAAGGAATGTCTGGTAAGTTGATAGAACTTTATTCAGTCAGAGTGATGAACTCACAAGGTAAACGAACTGATACTTTGCAGCTAAAATATCTACAGCTACTTCTGGGGTCATGGTTGCTTGGGTTAAGTTGATTGCCGAGAACTGATGCTTGACTTTGTCGGACACCTGAAGCAATCTGATCTGTCAGTTTCGGTAAGATCCAATTATTACTAGTTGAGCTCACCTGATTATCTCCAAGAGCGTCTAATGGGTTCAGAATCAATACAATTGGCTTGGCCACTTTTGGAAAGAGCAAGAGGAACAGCTCAGCCACTTGAGTTTTTCCAAATCCCGTTCCGGCCAGCAGGAAAGTATTGAGGCCATTAATTAAACTGACTACAGCATCCACGTGTTTTGGTCGTGGTTCGTGACCAAAGTGAGAAATACAAAGTTCTATCACATGTTGACGCATGGATTCATCATTGGCAGTGGTAAGCCAATTTGGAAGCGTGACACGTTTGTTTGCAGTATGATCGGCGGGACGGGCCAACACGTCTACCAGGCCGGGCATCGATTTGCTTTGCGTTAACGGCATGATTCCGGGTGGGTGGTCAATCTTGAAAGGATTTGGTGGCGATGGAATGTACAGTTGAACCGTGAAAGTGATCTTTGGCAGTGAGCACGCAAGAGTGAGTTTAGCAAGAGTGATACTTGGCAGTGAGCACGCGATGTGGCCTCCAAAATGCATTTTGGGAGACCAGGCATTAAGGTTGAAAGAGTTTCTGACTAAGGTTTTGTCTCCGCAGTCGTGCTACAGTTACATTTGACAAACCACCAGCTTCTGGAGGCAAAAAAGAAGGGAGGGGATCTACTTCCTCGTTTTTTTTTCGATATAAATGTGCGTCTCACCAAGGCGAACAAAAAGTTTCTTTGGTGTAAAAAATTTCACAAATAGGTGAAAAAGTTTTATAAGGACAGCAAATCTCTCCACCAAAAACGCTTGACCCTCACAGGCCAAAACAAGCAAACTTGTCCTGAGTCCCTCGCTTGACGTCTCGCGAGGACTCGAGCGTGGGACTCTGATGAGTTTATCGGTTACCGAAGGTTTTCAAGGATCACAGCTTTACATATACATACACGGTGAGAATATTCATACACGGTGAGAATATTTCGGTGAGAATATTTCTCACCGTGATGTAAAAGTCATATATGTAACTTTTTTTGGGTTTTGTTACCGAAGTGGGTGTACACTACAACTTTCTAATTATTATCGTAGATAGTTATCTCCATACCAACATTATTCAAATATCCTTAACAACTATTTGTTTATACAATTCTATTCCTCTACAACTTTCTTCGCAACTACATTTCAATTTCTCATACATTTCAAATCATTACATGGACCTTCTCCATACCGATCATATCTTCTCTTCGACAGCAAAAATCGATACATCCAATCCATTTAGCAGTCAATTTTTTCTTTCAGATCAAGAGCTCTTACATATCCATTCTACATTTTGTAATCCATTTTCGCCTCATTCGCTTATGCAATCTTGCTTTTATTGCCAATGATGGTATCATTTCTATCTTCTCATAAATTTCTTGTCATCTTAATTGGCATCTGTATTACCCAATTCCTTATAGCCTCCACCCTCAGGATGAGCCCCGACCCCCGAATGCCGGGGACTGGGCTGCCCGGCCCACCGACTTTTTTTCAAAAGTCAGAACGAGGACCGACCCCGGTATTCCCCGAGCTTTTTCTGGCTCATAGGTCAAGCCCGGCTCCCGTACCCTGACCCCCGACGAACTACCAAATCCCCGGGAAATTACGGGGATCCCCGAGTCCCCGGCTATTTCCGGCAGAAACCGCTGAGCACAACCTCTCCCAAGCGTGTATTTATCCGCTTTTTACAGCTTGATTTTTCCTCGGGTTCCCCGAGGAGAGTCACTTTCTTTTGACTCTCAGAACGACTCCCGGGCCCGATAATCCCCGCGGTTCTGCGACCCTTCGAAGGCCAGAACGACCCCCCGACCCGACGGGCTGTCCCGCGGGTATCCCCGATTTGGCGGGTCTCGGGGCTCATCCTGACGAGTCCACCCTAAAGAATAACGTGGTATGTGCGCTCAGATATAAAAGGGGTAAAAAAGGTCACTATCGTAAGTGAGATGATCAAACTCTTTTCTTGTAAAACAAAATGTCTAGCTCAAGTGTTTATAAATCTTTGTTTGCCTTTCAAAAAAGTTTGCATGGATGCTGACTCGTATGCTTGGGAATGTGAGATCTGCTACCCCCAAGCCATTACAGTCAAACCCGCGCAAATGCATACCCGCGCAGGTGCATAACCCTTGATAATGCATAGAAAAAATCTAGAATCTTGACGCTTTTTACTGCCAAATTTGACAACAGAAATGCATAACCCGTCAAAATGCATAGCAAAAGTCTTCCACCCAAATTATGCGTTTGCGCGGGTTTGACTGTAGATGGTCTTGTCCAATCGGGAGTTCGCAATTCCAATGGACATGTGAAGCATACTACATTAATCAAGACAATCGAGCCAATTACAGTCAGCCATTCGATCCTTTCTGTTTCCAGATGCACTCGAGAAGCTCAAACCTTTTTAACAAATTTGTCATCTGACTTATTCTACTCCAGTTTGCCTCAACAAGAGAAACCAATACACATGCCCCCTTACAACTAATTTAGTATGTAAGTCATTCTACTTTTTCACTAACCACCCAGATGTCTATCAATTGTCTAGCCTCTGAGCTGTTTTTATCACCCTCAATAGCATGCAATGGTTGTGGTAGGTGAAGTGATCCATTATCTTAGTGGGAGTCACCATTATCTTCATCATCTTTTTATGGCTTTCGACATCATGTTCAGTCGGAGTCTTCTTCTGTCACATCTATCATCTATTGGTCAAAATAGCAAACATTTGGTCTGATGTGTTCGTAGGGCGTAGCTAGGAATCAGAAAGATCAGTTTATTCTATCCACCGGCTGGTACCTTTCATAGAAAAATTGTCTATGTTTCTTTGCTTCATTTTGTTCTCCTACATTGGTCGTATCTTCTATCATAATCTTTTTCATCGCATTACGTACAAGACAGCGGAATGGCCTGTCCCTCGGTGATCGGATATATTTGAAGCCCAGAGAGATCCCAGTACAAGCAAGCAGAGGTAAGCCTCAGGCTGCGCTGACGTTGAGAGTGAGATTCAAGCATCTGATATCCACTACAACAAGACAAAGAAATTGAGCTGGTGGATACCGGGCAAACATGAAATGATCTTCGTGGTATGAATCTGATGTGTACAATATTTTGATATCTGACTACACATCTCCAAGCAAGACTGATGGCTCAAAGATTGTACATCTTGCTCTGGGGTCTAGCGTTACAAAGAAGATGAGGTCGCGCACCATCATCTATTGTCGGGTTCCGATTTCTATTCAGCTTCTGTACTTAAACGTGTCTCCTCCTCTGAGTCGATCTCAGCGTGAATTTGAGTTGTAGTAGGTTAGCCTCGATTTGGATTTCGGGCTGAGTATATGATCATTTCGGGGTTCTGGTTAAAACCAAGCTAGCCATAAAGCTCACGAGCCAATTCACCCTTCTAAGAAAGGTAAACAGATCCTTATTG